CCCCGAGAAAGAGTGGGGAGTTGCCCTGCCTCTCTCTTCCTCCGCTCTGCTCACTTCTCCCGTCAGCCCCCTCCCCAGCAGGGTGACCCCTCCATTTTTCTGTCCTGCTCATCATCTAAGGCTTCCCCAGGCCTCTCCTCCACAGATCGCAGCCCCTCTCTCTTCTCAAAAGGTGGGTGTTGAGGCAGAGGTGAGGGTGTGTGTGGAGGACAGATGGAGCCTGGGCCGCACTGGCGACCATGGATGGCTCAGCAGCTGGGCGAGGCCCCAGGCCCACCCCAAGGGAGTCCTGTCTGGAGTGGGGCTGGGAAGGGGGCCTAGGCAAGGCCTCATGCTTGGGAAAGGCCAAGGGGGTGGAGGGGTGGGTAGTGGGACACAATAAGTTAGTCACACGAGGCGAAGGCATGTTGGGGGTGGGAGGAGCGGACACTGGAACACACACACACACACACACGCTCGCACACACACAACCAGCCAGACAATCGGGCCAGTGTGTCTGGGCCCTCGGAGCCCAGTGAATTAGGAGTTTGATAAGGGTTTTCTCTTTCTGTCGCTCGCCGGCCTTGGACAATCTCCCCCCAGTTTTCCTCGACGCCACCCCCGGCGCTGCCAACCCCCCCCCCCCCCGCCCCCCCCCACCCCTCCTCCCTTCTCTTCCCTGTGCCCAGACTCTTGTTCGGGGCCTTGAAACAGTGAGCTGCCTTTGTTCGAAATACAGGTGAACGGCGATCATGTGATTAACACACACACACATAAAAAGCTTTTTAACAGCGCCCGCCTGGCCTCAGAACCGCCCAGAGAGGAGCCGCCCTGGATGGACAGAGGGACAGAGGGACGAGCCTCCAGCCGGTCGTGTCTGGCTACCCTCAGCAGTCTCCGACACTCGCTGCTGCCCGCCCGCTGCCCGCCTGCGTGGCATCTCTCGATCCCGGTGGGTCCCCGCTCATCCTTCCACCCCTCGGTTCCTCCTCTCGAGGAGGTGTGGTGCCTGTGGCGTCTGTGACTTGGCCTGAGACCCCCTGGGGCAGGGAGGGGTGGCTGTGGAGGGTAGGAAGCCAGGTGTGGGGTCCCACAGCTCCCCTTTCGACTCCCCGCCTCCTCCCCTACCCTCCTTGGCCCAGCTGTGCCAAGATGGGGGTGGGGGTGGCAGTGGGTGCTCTGGGTCTGCAGAAGAGCCACACTGGACAGAAGGGGCCTCTCTCTTCCCTTCCCTCCGTCTCTCTCTCTCTGTCCCTCTCTTCCTGTTTCCACAGTGCTATGTGGGCTCTCTGCTGAGAGGTGCTGGATGAGGCAGGTGGGCCTGCAGGGGGGCAGGCTGTGCGTGGGTGGGGTACCCCGTGCTGTGAACACACTGCCCACCATGCGGGCAACTCTGATCCCCTCCATCTGTTGCAGGCCCCTGGGGCCCAGCTTTCTCCAGCAGGGGAGGGTGAAGGATCCATATGCATCCCCGGAGAGCAGGGAGTTTGGAGAGGGGGAGGGCTCCTGGATGAGGACACCGGTGCCTCTGCCCTTAACAGAACAACCTTCTGGTCAGCGCCCGCTTCTGCTCCCTTCCCTGCTCGGGGTGGGAGGGGTCCTTTTCCCCCTCATTCCTGACCCTTCCCCAAGGATGCTGGTGACCCCCTTGCCACACCCCGAATCCCACCTGCCCATTCCGGGTGAGGTGTGATGCCTGGTGCACTCTCTGGCCTGTTCTCCCTCCCCAGCAGGGAGGGCCCAACATGAGAGTATAATGGTGAGGTTCAGGCTTCCTTCCCTGGGCAGAGGCCTTTCAGGAGTATCAGGGTTTTTCTGCGATCCAACCTGGGCACTGTGAAGCTGGTCCCAGATTTACTCCTCAGATGGGCCCCTGAGAGGAGGAGAGCAAATGAAATTCTGTCAGTCAAAGTAAAGCCCAAAGCCCGCTGATGCCCCTGCCTGGCGGAGCTGCTTCGGTTCGCTGTGACCCTTAACCCCTTAGCTCCCTGAGTCCCCCTCTTGAGGCACTGGTCCTGCTTCGTGGAAGGCCCACCCTTGGCTCCCCGTCCTGGGTCCCAGTGGCTCATCTGTCCCCTGGAGTGATGACCATCTTGCCTGGCCTGCCTCTCAGAACACCCCAAGGTGAGATGGCGAAATCTCCTGTTCAGCCGAGCCAGGGCTGAGCAGGGAAGGCACTTTCCCACCTCTAGGCACTGTGGGGGTGAGACCTGCGTGGGCCAGGCTGTCCTCTCACTCGTTCCTCAGGCCTGGGCCCAGCTCCCCGTTTCTGACCAGCTCCCAGCAATCGCCTTGAGTACCGCTTCTAAGTCTCGCTCCACGTTAGGGTCACTGTGGAGTCTTAAAGAAGCATTGAAGCCTGGATCCCCTGCAGACTGGCTAATTCTGAATTTCTGGGCATGGGCTCCAGACATGTTTCCTTTTTGAAGCTCTCTGGGAGGCCTTGCTTTCCCTCACTGGGGTCTCTGGAACCCCGAGGCGGCGGTGACCCTCTGCAGGACCCAAAATCTCCAGGGAGAGGGGAGAGTGCTGGGCTCTGGACCCCAGAGCTGGAGACCAGAACTGCAGTGACCCTGGGGTGTGCAGGGAATTGTGGGGTGTGGCATGGGAGGGGCTGTGCATTGGAAAGGGGGAGGGCTGAGGGGCACAGGTCAGGGTCAAGGGTACAATACTGACTGAGACAAAAGCTTAGTCTGGGTGAGTGTACGGTCGGGGGGTGGTGGGAGCTCCCCCACCTCTGGACAGGTGTGTTCTTCTCGGTTCGGGTGCAGTGGAAGGAGCATTGGTCTTGGAGTCAGGAAATCCTGCCACTAGTATCCATATGGCCTTGGGTGGATTATGCTGTTAACCTCTCAGGACTTGGTTTTTGCATGTATAAAATGTTGATGATTTTATATATCACCGTATCCCAAGTGGATGGGAGAATTAAATAAGAATACACAGGGAATTCCCTGGTGGTCCAGTGGTTAGGACTCGGCCCTTTCACTGCTGGGGCCTGGCTTTGATCCCTGTTTGGGGAACTAAGATCCCACCCCATGCAGGGAGGCGAAATTAAAAAAAAAAGAAAAGAACACACACACATACACATTTGGTGTGGAGTAAGTGCTCCACAGTTAGTTAGAAAAAGTAGTTTAGGGACTGAGAGGTGGGGAATGCTGACGTCAGTTCAAGTGCACAGGTGTTCACAGAGCAGCCACCGTGGGTTAGCCTCAGGAGTTTGTAATCTGCCTGTTGAATCCCAGCATCAGACCAGGGCGGTGTGTGATAACCTCCTCACGGGTAGGCCTCTCCTGCTGTGCCCCTCAACAGCGAAGGCCCGCACTTCCACAGCCCCGCTGTGGGCCGGCCCAGCTCCGGGCCCCTCTGTCCCTGGAGTCTCAACAACTCTCTCAGTAGGTGCTGTCATTATTCTCCTTCTAGGAAGGAAACTGAGGCACAGAGACGTTCAGTGATGAGCCCGGGCTCACCCAGCTAACGATGGGAGGGCGCGGCCTGGTGCCCGCAGTTTCCCTCGTAGCCCAGCCTCTGATCCTACGCTGCTCTACTGCCTCTGGACCCCAGGCACGGCCCCCACTGCCCCCCAGGCCTTTGCACTTGCTCTGCGTTTCCCCTCCCCGTCGTCACTGCTTGCAGCCCAGCTCAGAGGCCCTCTCTTCAGGGACGCACTCCTGGACACGCCCTGGTTGGAATTCTTTTCCTGTATTACTTTCCCGTGGAGGAGAGGATGATGGCTTCATAGCTGCCTCACCTCCTCACTGCGCAGCCAGCCGGGCATCCAGACCCGTCTCCCCTTCCTCCTGGGAGCTCCCCGAGGGCAGGGCCACGCCTTCCTCTTGGTCTTGGCCTCTCGAGGCCCCAGCACAACCTCAGGGAGTCTTCCCTGAGTGGAGTTGCCATCAGAGTTCCAAGGGGAGAAAGATCAGGAAGGCTGGGGTGGGCAGGAGTGGCTTCCTGGAGGTGGAGGGCCTGAGTGCTGGTGGCAGCGGGGGGAGAAGCGGGGAGGACAGCATTCCAGGCCTGTCCCGACAAGCGCTCTCTCCCGTCCCTGTTTCTGGTCCAAGCTGAGGGTTGAGGACCTGCGCCAGGAAGACAGCTCCTGGGGCCTGCGTCTTCCTTCCCTCCCAACCGCACCCACTCCGGGAACAAGGAAGCCGGGGCCAGTGCCCAGCGCTGCCTCAGGGCAGTTGGCCTCTGCCCTCTTCTTAGAAGCCCTGAGCGGAGACTGCTCGTTCCTGTCATCTGAACCCAGCTGCCGGAAAGCCCTTCCTGGTGTCTCCCCAGACCTCTCACGCTGCAGTGAACTTTTGTGAATGTACCCTCTGTGCAGGGCACTGAGCCAGGAGCTGGGGTAGGGAGGTGCTGGAGGCCAGACCTTGCTTTGAGGAGCTCAGACTTTGATGAGAGAGACCTGCATGGAAACCCAGAACCCTGGCACAGCCGAGGTCCTCCATGGCCAAACGGGGGTGAGGGAGGTCAAGTCCCAGCCGGGCTGTGGGGGTCCTGTGTTGCCTCTGTCGCCTTCTTCCCTCTCTAGGCCTCAGTTTCCCAATCTATAAAATGAGAGGCAGGCTAGGTTATCTCCGAGGGCATTTCCAGATTCAATAGCCTGTGAATTTTATTTCAAAACAAGAGGCCAATGCCTGACCCAGTGTTTCCAAGGTGCTGCCTCAGGGCCCTCGGTGTTCCTTAGACATTGATCAGCATCTCTTGAAGAGACAGTTTTGTGGTCTAGTAAGTTTGGGAAATACTGCTTTCCACTTTTTCTTTTTAAAGATGAAGGCCTTTGAGGGTGTTAAAAGTTCTAAGTGCTGCAGATAAGAAATGGATCTTTGTTTGTTTGTTTAATTTATTTATTTTTGGCTGCGTCGGGTCTTCGTTGCTGCGTGCGGGTTTTCTCTAGTTGCGGCGAGCGGGGGCTACTCTTCGTGGCGGTGCGCGGGCTTCTCATCGTGGTGGCTTCTCTTGTGGCACACGGGCTTAGTTGCTCCACGGCATGTGGGATCTTCCCAGACCAGGGCTCGAACCCGTGTCCCCTGCATTGGCAGGCGGATCCTTAACCACTGTGCCACCTGCGAAGCCCTAAGAAATGGATCTTTGTTTAAAATACCCCAACTCCTCGTCCTCCTTATCCTTCTCCTAACGCCTTTCCTCTGACTCTGGTCCTTTTCTCTCCTCCTTCCTTTCTCCTAAGAGTCAAGAAGAAGGTGGGGTGCTCCTGTGAGGAGCCTGGGTGTCCCGTAGGGCATGGTCCTCAATTCCTCACTCCCCTCAGTGCCAGCACAGAGCTCCACCACCCCCATGCCCCCTTTACCCCCGCCCTTGACCGAAACTGCAGCCACGTCTCCTCTCCCCGCCACCCTGTGTGGCCCGAACCCCGCAGGCCAAGCCCTGCCCACAGGACGCCTTGCCCGTTGGTCGAGGCATGGAGCCTCCCCTGTGTCCTGACTCCGTCACCTTTCCAGCAGGACATTGTGCCTGCGGGGCTGTGGGTCTGTGAGCTGTCTTTCTCACCTTCCTCCACGGTGCCTGGCGCACAGAAGGTGCACAGTGATGCAGATGAACGAATGACCTGCAGGTCGATGAACGTACACAGGCAGCGAGGTGCGGTGCCCTCGAGTCAGGCAGCTCAGGCTTTGCATCCTGGCAGCCCCGCTCCCTAGCTGTGTGTCCTTGGCAAATGCCTTAATGCCTCTGAATCTCAGTTTCCTTCCAAGTCAGGGTGAGGATTAAAGCAGATCACGTGTGTAAACACTTAGGACAGTGCCTGGCACGTTATGGGGCTCAGTAAATGGCAGCTCGGGGATCTGCCTCAAAGGGTGGCTGTCGGTTGACCTTGGGTTTGATAGAAGTCACTGCTTCTTGTCCCGTCCAAGCGCCGTTATCAGATGTTCTCCCATCGGCAGGTTCGTCATCCCACTGAACAAAAGCAGAGAGGGGAGTGATTGGCTGAGGTCACGTGACTGTTTGGTCTTGGAACCTGACCTCTCTGCCAGGACTTTTTGCCCCAGGTTTCCTGAAGACCCACCTTCTGCCGTCTGTGAGGTAATAAAGAGAGGCGGGCGCTCAGCTTGTGTTCAGGGAGCTTGTGGACGAGCTGGGAGCTGGCTCGTTCATCCGGACCCTCCCGCACACCTATTAGGCAGACTCGAGTGGGGATGAAGAGAGTGGAGACGGCGGAGGAAAGGAAGGGTGGGTGAGGAGGGCTGAGGGCGGCCTTTATCAGATGGGACTCCTGGTGGTGTCCCCGGAGGGGGCTGCTGCTCTGAGCAACAACTGGGCAGCTTGTGGGGAGGGGCTTATCCAGGTTTGCCGGTTTAGGAGGTGACTGGAAAAACCCGAGTCTTCCCATTCTGGATTCCCTGTCCTTTCTGTCCTCCAGGGCATTGCCCAGGACCAGGCTGTGGATGCCAGACGCCAGGGGACTGGGCTGGGTGTACATGGAACCAAGGACGCCCATTTGAGGTTGGTGCCGTGAGTGCATCCCTGCTCTCGCAAGGTTACCTCCGTTCCCTGAAAGTGAAAATGGGTGATCCAGTGGGATTTCAGTGTTTGTGTGAGCTTGGAGGACAGCCTCCCCACAGTGAGATGACTTTATCCTTTGTCGATGTCACTTTATAATGAAGAAGGGAGCTGAGTGATGATAAGCCTGAGACCCAGAGCCAGAGAGACCAGGGTTCAAATCCAGTCTGTGCCCCACTAACCAGCAGTGGGCTCGCGCCAGTCCTGTAATCGCGCCAGTCCTGCCTCAATTTGCTCATCTGTAAAATGAGGATAACACTGCCTGCCTCATGGGAATGCAAAGGTGAAAGAAACAAGGAAGGGCGGGTGCTTTAGCACAGTGCCTGGGACAAAAGGCAGGCCTTCTGGTCATTGCCTTCTCTACTCATCTCAGCTGCTGCCTGATGCCCAGCATTTTCCAGGTCGTGTCAGGTAAAATAATGCCGTGGATATAATGCACCCAGGAAAATCTCTTCCTTTTCTAGGGGCGAGAGTTGTACTTACTGCAATAAGAGCACAGGACTCGGCACAGCCCCGGGGGTGCTCTGATTCAAGCAGAAAGTGTAATATATCCTTGAGGCTGCCGGGCACGGGAATTTTGTATCCAGGTGGCAGGTTGAGAAGTCAGAGTTTGAAGATCTCCTGTTTGGGGCTACAACCCTGAGCGGAAGTCTCCGTGCCTCAGCTTTGGCAGGTGCAGTGGGAGGAGCTGCTTCCGACTCTGCCAAGGTCTCCATTCTTGCTGTGTGACGTTGGGCAGGTCAGCCACCCTCTCTGGGCCTCTCATTCCTTCATCTGTACGATGCAGGAGTTGGCCTCTGAGATATCTGGGGGTGCTTTCAGATTTACTGTCAGGGGTTTCGGGGTTCTGTAGGAAAATGCCCGTATCTGGTTTTGTCTCCCTGAGGCAGCTGCTAAGGTCTGGGCATGTGAACATGTAACAGGTGCTCAGTGAGTGCTAGTTGGATCTCATTGACCAGGGAGAGAGCTCACTGACAGCCCCGCCCCACGTCTCCTCTCCCCAGAGAGCCTGTCCACTGGCCTGCGTCCCAGCATCCTGTTAGCCCTTTGCGGGCAGGACCCTCAGTTCACTCTCCATGGTCAGCCATTCACCCATTTGTTCTAATGCACATAGATGCCACAGACACACATGCGTGTAGGGGAATAAAACCTCAGATTGCAGATGGATCAAATAAATGTTTCCTTCTCATGGCTCCTAGGGTCAAAATCCCAAATCTTTAGCCTGGTCTGGCATGACCTGGCCCCACTCTCAACCCCAGACTCCAGCCAGAGTGGCCACCCTCCACCTCCCTAAACTCAGGCCTCTGAGCCCCCATGGATGCTCTCCCTCTGCTGAATGTGCTTCCACCATCACCTCGTTGGCTTCTCCTTTGGGCTCAGCCTAAAGGTCTGCAGAGTCACCTCCCCAGTCCTCCAGTGTCAGTTATCCTTTCTGACAGCCCCCTGTTGAGTCAAAACCCATCATCTCTTCACTCTGTGTCCTCACCCCCACCCCCACCAGTTTAGACAATGAGACTAGGCAGAGCTTCACGGGCCATCGAGGCCAGCCCCTCACTGCTCAGATGGGGAAACTGAGGCCCAGAAGGGCGAGAGCACGGCACTCACTGCAACTTATGATCATATATTTATTGTGAGATTAGTTCTTCTTCTTCTTCTTCTTTTTTTTTTTTTTTTTGGTCTGTGCCGTGGCTTATGGGATTTTAGTTCCCTGGCCAGGGATCAAACCTGGACCCTCGGCAGTGAGAGCGCAGAGTCCTAACCACTGGACCTCCAGGGAATTCCCGAGATGATTTATTCATTGTCTCTCTTCCCACAAGGATGTCAGCTTCATGAACCCCTGGTGATCAGCTGAGCGCCTGGCACACAAGAGGTGCCCAGTAAATGAATGAATGAATGAGTGAACAAACATAGCCTCATGGGGAGGATGGGTGGGGGGAGGACTGGAGAGGTGATGAGAGGGGAGAGGCTGTGGGTCAGAGGAGGAGACTTGTCCAGGGTCTCTCATGTGATGGAGGCAAGTGTCTTGATTCCCAGGCCAGTGTTCTTCCTCCTTCTGGAACGCGGGGCGCCTGGAGGGCCAGGCTGGGTTTCGTGGGACACCTAAAGCCCCTGAGGACGTAGGGAAGGGGAGGAGGGGATGGGGCATCTGAGCCAGTTTCCCAGCCCGCTCCACCCCTTCCCCCAGCAGGCAGGAAGGACAGGGCAGGCCTGTCAGCTTTGGACACCACCGCTCCGGGGCACCCAGCCCTGAGCCCAAGGAGGCTGAGGGAAAGAGCGGAGGGTGTGTGTGTGGGGGGCTGGGGGGCAGGGAGCACGCGGGTCTTCTCCCCCTCCCTCCTGCCCCACCCTCCACCCCCATCTCTGGCTAGAGCTGGCAGCCCCAGGCCTTGGCACTAGGGGGACGGGGGCAGGGAAATGGGGGATAGAAATCCCATTCTGGCCCAATGCCTTCCTCTCCCCTATTTGATTTCTGGGTCTGAGGATGGCGACTGCCCTGGCTACCCCTGGAGAGTTGGATCCAGAGCCTTGAGGCTAGAGGGACAGAGGGAAAGGGAGAGGGCACTGCCCACTTCAGCCCTTTCTGTGTGCCTGGCACTGTGCGGACCACCCTGTGACCCCGGGCTGGGACCGGGGAGGCCTCACTGTGAGGCCCGGCTCTGTGACCTTGGGGTGGGGCACAGCCCCTCTCTGGCCACCAGCATCCTCCTTATCCGTCAGTGTGGTCCAAACCTGGCGTCGCTGCAAGCTCATTGGAGAGCTTGTTGTAAATACTGATTCCTAGGTCTTATTCCAAGTCGTATATTTGGGTGGGATTTCCTTTTGAAAGTTCCGCTGTGATTATGCTGCAGCTGGTGGGGGAACTACTGGAAGAGATGGTCTCTAAGGCCCCCATCCTCAGCCTCAAATCTCCAGCCTCTTGGGCAGGCTGGACTTCCGTGGTGCCCTCCTGCCTGCTGTGTCCTGAGAGGCTCGGCTCAGGCCCTCCAAAGCGAATGGCCGAGTCCTCCTGCGTGGCGCTGGAGCACGGTAGGTGTGCAGGCTGCAGGGGCCCATGGGGGCTGTGTGGACCTGCTGGAAACGCAGAGGAGCCTGGGAGGGGCCTGAGCAGCGCAGCCAGGGCTGCCCCCACTGCGTCCGCCCCTCCTCTTCCTCCTGACCTTCGCTTTCTCCCTTTTCCTCTTCTGTCACCGCCTCTTGTCCACGGCCTGGTTTTTCTCTCTGCTTTGACTTCCTTCTCTCCCTCCATCACTTCCACTTTTCTTCCTTATGTCCGCAGCCCACCCCCTCTGGGAAGCTCCGTCATTTTGAACCTGCAGTTGGTGGTTCTGTCTTGGCATCCTTCCCTTTCCGGCCCTCTCTGCCCCTGGCTGGAGTTGTCTCTGTCCTCATGCTCTCTATCCAGCCTCGGTCTGCTCTCAGAATCTCATCTTTCTGTCTGTCTCTACCTCTCTGTTTCTCTCTATATCTCTGGCTCACCCCCCTACCGTCCCTCACCTGCCCTATCGCTGTCTACCGGGAAGCCTGGGGAGGCTGCCAGGGAGTGGAGGGCCCTGGGAAAATGAGAAAGGTGGGGAGAGGCGACTTAGAGAGACCGAGATTTGTGCGAACGAACGCGGCAGAGAAGCTCTCGGGGCCGAGGGTGCTGGGCTTCCTGCCCCGACCTTCAGGGTCCTCCCCGCCTGGCTCCAGCCCACCCCTCCAGCTTGTTTCACCCCAGGCCACCTTGCCGGGTCCACTGCCATGCCCTGGTCCCCCTGTTGCTCCCTCGGGCCTGTGCCGGCACCTCGTCTCCCTCTTTCTATTTCCAGCATCACCGCCGCTGCCTCTGAGGCCTTCCCTCCGCCCCACCCCTACCCCCTGCCCCGTGCTCCCACAGCACTGAGTCTGGGTTGGGGACAGGCAGGAGATGAGGCCAGAGGATGAGTTCAAGCCTCCCTGGGACGGGCCTCATTGAGTCAGACCCAAGGATCTGTACCTTATTCTGGGGCAAGAGGCAAAGGTTGCAGGTATTGATGGCAGAGCAGGTCTTTGGGTTCCCTTTGTGCGCGAGTTTTCCCGCGCCCAGAGAGCCAAGATGGTTTGCTCAAGGTCGCACAGCAGGCCTGCAGGACTTGGACAGCAGCAGGGGAGGGTGGAACGTGGAAACGGAGGGGGTATGGGGAAGGAGACAGTGTCTCGGTCCAGAAGCCAGGGACCTGGGGACAGGGCTGTGCTACAGACTTGCGGAGGGACGGGGGCCGTGCTCTCGCCCTTCTGGGCTTCAGTTTCCCTATCTGAGCAGTGAGGGGCTGGCCTCGATGGCCCGTGAAGCTCTGCCCAGTCTCATTGTCTAAACTGGTGGGGGTGGGGGTGAGGACAGGGAGTGAAGAGATGGTGGGTTTTGACTCAACAGGCCAGTTCCTCCCTGTCCTCCAGGCTCAGAGGATCAAAAGAGGCCACGGGCACCTCTTGCCTCTCCTCAGTGACCTGCCCGGACAGGTGGTGTCGGGCCTCTGGTCCTGTTAACCCCCTCGGGGCCAGGGCGGGGCCAGGGCAGGGCCGAGGGTCCAAGCCTCCCAGCTGCCCCTTGAAGGAGCGTCTCAGGGGGCCAGAGACATCAGGCTGGCCCGGGGGGAGGCTGTAGATCCTGGGCCTCCCACACTTCGGGGGAGAGGCCTCCTGGCCACCAGGGTCTGGCAAGAGCCTCAGGCGAGGGGCTGGGGTCAGGCTACCCCGGGAAGGTTAGGGTGGCCCTGCTCTCCCATCGTGGGGACTTCATTCCAGGAGCTTGGGCTGGAGGGGCCCCTGTTTCTCCTAGATGCCCTCTCTGCACCTCATCCCCTGCTGGCCCCATGGCCCCGGGTGTGGGGACATGCAGAGGAGCGGCCAGGAGAAGGGTTAAGTCAGGAACTCTTGGGATGGCTTTGGCCACGGCTATTCCTCCGGGAGAGGAGAACAAGGGG